TCAATATTCCAAAGTAAAGAAACGGAACGTGTGTACGCAGTGTTAGCTAGGATAAGTTTAAATGAGCTACTGTGTGGTTATTGGCATCCTATCTGAATACTGCCTGAAGAATTAAGTCATATCTATGTCAATCTAATGCAGCATATTGTTTATTCTGCAATACCCTTATGTCTTATCTGTTGTTTGAATAAATCTAACTCTGTTTTGCTTAATTGTGAAGGACGATTTTCCTTTTTTGGTTTATTGTTGTTTAGATGTTGAATTACATACACATGGTGTACCATCCACTTTACGATGCTCGAGCCTCAAAAAATCTTGAGCATGTTCTGATTTTATTAGTCTTTTCCAAACGAAAATACTTAATTTTTAAACCTGAGAGAAAGACAACTTACAGAAGGTACATATCATTGGCACCAAAACAAGGAAAGTATTTTACACAAAAAGGACTTGGACACAGAATTTAATATCTTCTATATCTTTATTTACATATGCACAGTCTTAATAACAATACTGCCATGTACCAAAAACAGTAAATAAATAAATGTTATTTTTTTGTGTTAGCAGCATCACTATTTACAATACAGGAAGATATAAAATGGTACAGTAATAACATCAAAGAATTTACAAGGTAACAAGGAATTCGCAAATACTCAAAAACTACAATAAAAGAATAAACAAACATTCTTGACAAATAAAAATAAAAGTTATCTTTACTTTAAACATGTTAATATCATTTAACAAATTAAATTATTCAAAATATACACAACAAATTTACACAGAGAAATCAAACACAACTCAATGAGAAGATCTGCATCCTCTTTCTAAATACAAAGGTAATAATAGCTTTTTCATCATATACCATTTCTGTTCACTTTGTAACAGTATAAACAGGCCTACCTTCTGTACTTTTGTTTTGGATACAAGATATCTTCTCATTCCATAGTATTTCTCAGTAAATACAGAAAATTCTCTCAAGGCTGATATTTGTTAAGAGATACTGAACATATTCCTTTAAATAATAATAATAAATAAATATAATAAAATAAAAAGAACAGACGTATTGTTAAATCTTGCCAAGGGTTACTACCCTCATGGTTATAACCTGATGTTTTATTTTATTATTTTTAAACTACTTTCCCTTTGCATTTGCCAATCCTGGCAGCATCTGTCAAAAAGTAATAAAATCAAAATAATGATGATGATAATCAAAATAATTATCATAAAAATAATAACAATAATAATGATAATAAAAAAATAATAATAACAATAACAATAACAAAACAACAAAAACAATAATAATCATAATAATAACAATAACATTAATGATAATAACAGCAATAACAATGATATTCAAAATAATAATTCATCTAAAAGACAATTCAATTATAACCTTGAATCAATTAAAGGTCCATAACAAGTATACCCCCCCCCCCAAAAAAAAAAAAAAAAAAAAAAAAAAAAACGTTTACAATGGCTCCAATGACCTATTGTAAAAACAGAACATGTCAAAGCTGCTCCTTTGAAAGAACCTGGCATGTTGTTCAAGTTTCCTTTGGAGGATTTTGTTTATTCATGTACTAATTTTTTTTATAGTACCAAATGTTGAAGAAAGATAATTTTACCTTTCTACATTCATTGAAAAAAATAATATATTCATGGAGACAAAAACTTCAACAGTACTAATAATTAAAAAAAAAATTCATTTGGCAATTTGGTAGAGAACGGTACAGGGTGGATAAACCATAATCAAAATCTTCCAAGCTCTTTTTGGGGGGAATTTCTCACATCACATAGTACCTTTATGGCTACAGCATAGAGGGAAGTAGTTTAAGTTTTCTCAGCACCAAAAAGGAACCCTAAACATTTTTCTAATAACACAGCCATTACAACAACAACAAAAAAAAGAGAAGAAAGCATTGCAAATTACTCAAATCTATTACTGTAACCTATAAACCAACGAATCACTCATCTTTTGATTTCCCTTCAAGCCTTTCGTTGGCTTTACTCCTAATTTCATGCCACTGCCTCATGATGGGCTCTCTGTTCCCCCAAATGTATTTTGTCCCATACAGAGCATACAGCAAACCGAAGAGAGCTCCTCCCAGATGGGCAGCATGATCAAATGTACGCCAACCTAGGGCAATGCCCACAGCATCCAGGCACATGACGGCTTTGAGAGCACTGTCGGCAGAGAAATTTATTCCTGGGATGAAGACAATGCCGAGCTGTGCATTTGGATTCTGTGTGCAGAAATAGCCTAGAAGGGCCATGATGGCTCCTGAAGCTCCTAACGATGGTCCAGGACACCTCATCGCTACTTTGAAGACATGGCTGGCTAAAGAGGACACGACACCTCCACTTAGATACATGGCAAGAAACTGTTCTCTACCTAAAGAAGCACAAACACCAGTACTGAAGCTGTGTAGCACATACATGTTCATTGCCAGATGGAAGAATGCAAAGTGACTGAAAGTAGAGAGGAACATTGGCCAACATACAA